CGATGACATGACTGTGCGATATATTGTTGTTGCTGCATGATCATCATCTGTTGCTGCGCGTTCCTCATTCTTGCTCCATCCCAAATCTATTTTTTTATTTTCAATTTTGGTGGCCTACTGGGTTTTTGTGTGGTTCAATTGTGGTGTGATGTGGGTGTTGTGGTTGTGATGTGGTGTGGTGTTGTGCTGTGTACGATGGTGTGAGATGTGCGGTGTGTGGTAGTGGTGGCGTGCGTTGGGGGAGAGTGTCCATTTATTTGGATGGTCATGGTGGCGTGGGAGATGATGTTCGACAGTGGTGGAGATATAGTGGTAGAGATGGTGTAGTGGTCTAGTCGAGGTGTTCGACAATGGTAAAGATGGTGTAGATGTTGGGTGCAGCCAATTGTGGTCGATGGTGGTGGAGTATAGATGGTGGTTGTTGTGGTCATGGTGGTGGCGACGTTGACGGTAGTGGATTTGAGGAAACGGTGGAGGTGGTGGTGGTGGTTGGTACAGGCGGCGGTGGGGATGGTGTTGGCTGTCGTTGTTGTCGTGCTGTTGGCGATGGTGTTACTGGAGGCATTGGAGAGGTAGTGGTGGTCGCAAATTGTTTTGTTGATTGTAACTAATAAACAAGTTGATGTGTGACCAATAAATAATATGTGACCAATGAAATATATATATTGCGACCAATAAATAATGTGTGACCTAAAAATTTATTAATCCGTGACCAATTAATTTATTTAATTTGTGACCGAGAAATAAATTATGCTATAAAATTTTTTGTTTGTGATTGTGACTAAATATATAATTGTGACCATAAATTATATAATTTTGTGACCATAATATAATTAATTAATTATTTAAAAAATAAAATTTAAATTAATATCTGATTTTTGAAAAAAATAAACATTATTTCTTAGATTTAAAATATGTCATACTTAATTAATGTCTTACTAATGAAATTTTTCCTTAAAAAAAATGTTGACATTTTAAAATTGAATCCCAAAATTTCATATCAAATAAAGATGAAAATATAAACCAACTTATAAGGATTTGCGATTGGGCCACTCCTCTTAAAAAAAATTGATCTTTTAAAATGGAATACAATTCTTAATAATGTCAACATGTTATTATTATTATTTTTTGATATAAAAAAATGTCATCAATATATTGATTAAATTATTTAAAATTCCTCATTTATATAATATCTTTAGTTTTATATTTATTATTAATTTTTCTTGTTGAAATATTTTAAATAAGAGTATTTATTTTTTATACAATAAGATCTTTACTACTTTTCAAGAAATAAAAATGACAATGATAGAGTGCTTAGGAAATGTCAGTATTCAATATGACATATGTATCGGATATAAGTATGACACCCTAGTTAAAACGTGCGTGCAACATATTATACCAAATACTAAGACTAAATGTTTGTGCCTAGACTAAAGACTAGGCCTATGTTTGGATTCAATTTATAACTTGATTCATAAATTCTGTAAAAGTGAAATATTAATTATAATCTTGCATTTATAAATATTACTCTTATTAGTGGGGTTCATTACTATTCATCCTACTATTTTTATTTAGAAAATGTTAAGTGTACATAATAAATGTACACAATGAATGACATAATGTGATGTGCCAACCATCCTGTCGTTGATGTGAAAGTGTCAGATTTGAATTAAAGGTATTGATCAATATCACTTGTAATTATGTAGACCATTATGTACTTGTAGCATCACTCTTTTTATTTATATACCATTTATAAATTTGCCAAATGGAGTAAGTTTTGCGCCTTCACCTCCAACAAAAACTGCCCCTAGGATATTGATAGGCACTTGAACAAAAGTACTCATTTTCTAGGATTAAAATCAATTTTTCTCATCCAACTTACACATAAGTTTATCAATTAAACCACTTGTACAAAACTACTTCATTTGTAAAAATGCCAGAATACTCACATGAGGGTGGGCCTAATGCGAATAAAATATTATTATAAAAAATGGGGCCCACCCCCATGTGTGTGTTCTGTTATTTTCACACAGAATTTTTTTCGTGTGACAGTAGCATTGTTCTAAATTTATTTAGACACTTTCTTTTTTGCAATGTAGTAGTTTAACTTTTCTTTTCTTTTTTTTTCAATTAACTCATGCCCTAAAGGGATCATAAACATTTTGCCGTTGTCCCTTCAAAAGAATATTCATAATTTATTACATATAAGTTTAGTTTTAAACAGTAAATTCTGAAAAAGAAAATTTTATTAGCAAATTTTTGTATTATAAGTTTGGGAGGTAAGCGTGGGAAAATTTAAAGAGTGTAAGAACTAAGAACCAACCTAACCCTTTTCATNATAATACATTATGAGCTTGTTTGGGAGGGATTAAAATCAGATTAAAATTGAAAATATAGCCGTTGGAGTTGACTTTTATTAGACGAGTGGGACCCAATAACGGCTATATTTTCAATTTTAATTGGATTTTAATCCGTCCCAAACAAGCTCTTAAGATTTACTAGTTTTCTTTTCAAAAATCAGATGATAAATAATATTTTAAATATTAATAATTATATTACAAAAATATTTAAGTCATCCCACCTAACCTATACCCAACCAACCAACCACCCACACAAAACTCTAATTATTTTCATCCTCTCTATTATCTCTCTTTTTACTCTATTCCACCGGAAGTCGTCACTAGAAGCCATTGCCAGAGAGCACTGTCGATGACATCACTGTGCGATATATTGTTGCTGTTGCACGATCATCATCTGTTGCGGCGCGTTCCTCATTCTTGCTCCATCCCAGATCTTTTTTTTTATTTTCAATTTTGGTGGCCTACTGGGTTTTTGTGTGGTTCAATTGTGGTGTGATGTGGGTGTTGTGGTTGTGGTTGTGATGTGGTGTTGTGCTGTGTACAGTGGTGTGCGGTGGTGGTGGTAGTGTGAGATGTGCGGTGTGTGGTAGTGGTGGCGTGCGTTGGAGGAGAGTGTCCATTTATTTGGATGGTCATGGTGGTGTGGGCGATGATGTTCGACAATGGTGGAGATATAGTGGTAGATGGTGTAGTGGTCTAGTCGAGGTGTTCGACAATGGTAAAGATGGTGTAGATGTTGGGTGCAGCCAATTGTGGTCGACGGTGGTGGAGTGTAGATGGTGGTTGTTGTGGTCATGGTGGTGGTGACGTTGACGGTAGTGGATTTGAGGAAACGGTGGAGGTAGTGGTGGTGGTTGGTACAGGCGGCGGTGGTGGTTGATACATGCAGTCGTTGTGGTGGTATTTGGGGATGGTGTTGGCTGTCGTTGTTGTCGTGCTGTTGGCGATGGTGTTACTGGAGGCATTGGAGAGGTAGTGGCGGTCGCAAATTGTTTTGTTGATTGTGACTAATAAACTGGTTGATGTGTGGCCAATAAATAATATGTAACCAATGAAATATATATATTGCGACCAATAAATAATGTGTGACCTAAAAAATTTTTAATCTGTGACCAATAATTTTATAATGTGTGACCTAAAAATAATTTGTGACTGAGAAATAAATTATGCTATAAAATTTTTTGTTTGTGATTGTGACTAAATATATAACTGTGACCATAAATTATATAATATTGTGACCATAATATATTTAATTAATAAATTATATTTAATTAATTATTTAATAAATAAAATTTAAATTAATATCTGATTTTTGAAAAAAATAAACATTATTTCTTAGATTTAAAATATGTCATACTTTAATTAATGTCTTACTAATGAAATTTTTCCTTAAAAAAAATGTTGACATTTTAAAATTGAACCCCAAAATTTCATATCAAATAAAGATGAAAATATAAACCAACTTATAAGGATTTGCGATTGGGCCACTCCTCTTTAAAAAAATTGATCTTTTAAAATGGAATACAATTCTTAATAATGTCAACATGTTATTATTATTATTTTTTTGATATAAAAAAATGTCATCAATATATTGATTAAATTATTTAAAATTCCTCATTTATATAATATCTTTAGTTTTATATTTATTATTAATTTTTCTTGTTGAAATTTTTTAAGTAAGAGTATTTATTTTTTATACAATAAGATCTTTACTACTTTTCAAGAAATAAAAATGACAATGATAGAGTGCTTAGGAAATGTTAGTATTCAATATGACATATGTATCGGATATAAGTATGACACCATAGTTAAAACGTGCGTGCAACATATTATACCAAATACTAAGACTAAATGTTTGTGCCTAGACTAAAGACTAGGCCTATGTTTGGATTCAATTTATAACTTGATTCATAAATTCTGTAAAAGTCAAATATTAATTTTAATCTTGCATTTATAAATATTACTCTTATTAGCGGGGTTCATTACTATTCATCCTACTATTTTTATTTATATGCCATTTATAAATTTGCCAAATGGAGTAAGTTTTGTGCCTTCACCTCCAATAAAAACTGCCCCTAGGATATTGATTGGCATACTTGAACAAAAGTACTCATTTTCTAGGATTAAAATCAATTTTTCTCATCCAACTTACATATAAATTTATCAATTAAACCATTTGTACAAAATCATTTCATTTTTAAAATGTCAGAATACTCACATGGGGGTGGGCCCCATGCGAATAAAATATTATTATAAAAAACGGGCCCCAGCCCATGTGTGTGTTCTGTTATTTTTATAGAATTTTTTTCCTGTAACGGTAGCATTGTTCTAAATTTATTTAGACGCTTTCTTTTTTGCAATATAGTAGTTTAACTTTGCTTCTTTTTTTTTTCAATTAACTCATGTCCTAAAGGGATCATAAACATTTTGCCGTTGTCCCTTCAAAAGAATATTCATAATTTATTACTTATAAGTCAAGTTTTAAACAGTAAATTCTGAAAAAGAAAATTTTATTAGCAAATTTTTGTATTATAATTTATAAGTTTGGGAGGTAAGCCGTAAGCGTGGGAAAATTTAAAGTGTGTAAGAACCAACCTAACCCTTTTCATNNTAAGAACCAACCTAACCCTTTTCATTCCACTACTTTGAACCACCGGTGGCGCCACCACTCCCACCCGTCATCTTCCGCTTCTTAGGCAACCCAATTTCCGATGACCCTGAAGACAAAGAACGACTAGGCGAGGACGATGATCTTTTTGATGTGATCTTAGCTGGCTCCGGCTCTCCAGAATTTATCCTAAGAGGAAAATTCAGCAATGCACGCGAGCCGCGGATACGATACGCCGCCCGGTCGTAGGCTAATGCAGCATCCTCCGCCGTCTCATATGTCCCGAGCCACACGCGGCCGCCGTTTTTTGCAGGGTCCCTTATCTCTGCAGCAAACTTCCCCCACGGCCGGTGCCGGACCCCTCTGTAGTGCTTCCCTCTGGGTGGCGGTGCCACTTGCTCAATATCCACTTCCAACGCCCTTTCTGGCAGAGCCACCGTCGGAAAATTCAAATTGTCACACATTTCAAAGCTGATATCAGGCTCGCCCTTTACAATCACACTACTGGCGGCGTCGGAGCTAGGCGGCGGCAGCCACTCTAACGGAAATGGGAATCGAGAATCATCGAGCACATGACTTGTTATCGATTCAAGAAGGGCAAGATCCTCATCATAATCACTATTTTCACACATTGTCGTTTTGTACTATAATTTTAAACCAAAAAACCTTAATCTTTTCAAAATTGAATACAATTTTGTTCTGGATTATCAATGTTTTCGGAGAATAAAAGCCGTACACGGGTTGTATATATATATAGGTTCAGTTTGACACAAGGTTCATGCACTTTCAATTCTAATTGTATAGTTTTATATGAATAATTCGAACAAGTTGTAATTTTTTAGTATGTTCTTAATTTCTTCGAAGGTTCTGAAATTCTATCAAAGAAAAGTAAGTTACCCACGTGCAGAATTTCATCACATATTCAATTGGGATAAGAGGAGTCAAGGCGTCTAACTTGACCGCTTTGAAGATCAATATATATATATATATATATATATATATATATATATATTATATTGATTACTATTTGTAATTAGATAAAACTAATGTGATTAAACAAATAATTACTCCCTCCGTCCCATTTATATAAATCGACTTCCTGTATTTTATTGTTCCAATTATATGTCTTGTTTTTTTATTGAGAAATTTAGTTTTGTTCGTTTATTAATATACCTTTATTTAATTTGTCAGTTTGTAACTAATGTGAGAATGGAAAATTAAATCATTCAATTTCTTACTACTTCCAACAATAAGTTACTATTAGTTGATAATTAAATAAGGATAAATTAGAAATTTTTTGACAAAAATTGATTTTTCAATAACATTAAATAAGATTTCTTAATCCGTGTAAAAAATAAAACCAACTCATATAAATGGGATGGGGAGTATTACCTAGCCTAACGTATCCACTATACTTAAAAACAAGACAAAGGAGGAGTCAACAACTCAACATCCTTAATCCATAGAATTTTTGCAATACATTGCCGGATTTAATATGTGGATCCAAGTTCTCTTTCGAGTTTCGACTTAGTATTTTATAACCTCCTTAGTTCATTTCTTTTATTATTTTATCAAAGATAGCATGTGATTGTGCTTTCGTAGTAGGATATGAAGGATGTTTGAGCAATTTAATACTAATAACTAATGAAATAAGAAGTAAATTTGTTAAATTAAAGATTTATTTTGGTAGCATATTGATTTATATGGAGTATCGATCATCCCCAACTAATCATCGATAAAACTTCTTTGAGTGAAGGCCAAAAACATAACAATATTGGGTAAACGTTCCATTTGGTTGAGGACAAGTATGCCTTGATCGAGGACCTTCTGATCAACTAAGCATTCAACTATGTACAATGATCATGTGCATCCATTTAATTAGGCCCGGGCAAAAAAAAAAAATCGAAAAATTGATCAAATCAACCAACGGAACCGGTCAATTTGACAAAGGTAGTTGGTTTGATTTGGTTTTTTAAACAAAATCATGGTGGGTCGATTCAGCCATGGTAGCCTCAAACCGCTAGTTAACCGAAGGTGACCCAACTCACTTACATGTTTACCTTTTTTTAAAGAAAAATAAAAATGAAAGATAAGTCCTAATATCATAACTATATTTCGATTCCCTCCAATCCATGATATTGACAATAAGTAATAGCACTAGAAATTTCCAATTTAAGCTAATTATGTTGTACTTAGTCGTTTTTTCCTATTCGGGCAATCAAGCTACAAAATGCATAAAAAACAATAATTTTTTAGAGTTCTTTGTTGATCTGTCTTTATTAACCTAATTTTATTTGTTAGTCAATGAATCTTGTAATATAAAGTTATTTAATTTTTTTTAGTTTTTGTAATTTAAGTGGGCCCAAAACCCAAACAATTTTTTTTTTTTAATAAAAAAATTCATTTTGGACTAAAAGTCCAAACCGACGAACCGAATCAAACTGATTTGGTTTGGATTGGTTCAGTTTAAAAGTTAGAGTGAGTTGGTTTGGTTTGGCTAAAAATTCATCCAAACCGACGAATTTGGCTTTAATTTCGAGTTGGAGTCGAAACCGGCCCAAACCAAACCGCTCACATACCTACATTTAATCGTGATCTATCTAGTACATCATGGTCAACGTACTACAAGGTGGTCTATCTAATACACATTAATATAAGCTAATCACTCATGGTGGGAATCCCTCAATTTGATAAGTGTGTGTCTATGTTCATGACAATCAAGTGGATGCATTGCTTGGCCGGTTGATTTGGGCTCTTCACCTTGCTACACTTATAGCTAATATGAAAAGGAGTTCTTAGATCGCTTGCTCAATCGAGTAGCTACGAATCAATCTAAATTATTCATTCCCCGAAAAGAATTTGTAATGATCACGGATTAAAGAGATACCACGATCTATATTTCCATCGCATTATTAGGAGTCGATAAGGACTCATCCTTTCGTTCCTAACGCTTTCAAGACCACGTCGAATGAGTGGGCGGCTATGTGAAGGGTGCAGAGGTCACAATTGTTGGCAAAATATGTTTTAGTACATATTTTTATCAATTTTTGAGTTTCTTAATTAAATGAATTCGAATTTTAAAGTGGATAATTTGGAAAAGAAGGAAATTTTGTGCGTTGTACTGACTTGATTAGATGGTTTGTGCATTGGTTAACCAATATCCCCTGTTTGTTTCACATTAGTAGAAAAAAATGTACAGTTGATACAATAGAATAGCAACCATATTTGACCAATTTGTGTGTTGGCGGGACCCACTTTATTTTGATGTATAAATAAATTCTCAGCTTAAAGTTCTAACGTATGTCGTGAAGAACTTTATTTGAATTGACCATTAATTTTGAATTTTAAATAGATAATATTTTTTGATTCTATCTTAAAAGGTTAAATTCGTTGAGAAAGGGGAAAGCCGTTTATATTATTTTCATATTAAGAATTTTCTTTTTTAAAGATGGTATTGTAACTTTATGACCCTTCATGAAAAATTCAAAAACGAACGAACAATTAGAATTACTCTTTGACTGAATTCTCTCTGATCAACCATCGGATGCATAGACTTGAATATTTGACCATTGAATTTTGACCAAAGGCATTTTACATTTTGACTTGGAAAATTTGCCGGTTTACTTCGCAACCTATAGATTAATATATCAAGCGACAAGATTTAATTGGATCAAAATCGTATCAACTAAAAAAAACATATATCTCCAATTTTTTTTTTTTTTTATACCTCATCAATATATAAAAAATTGTATAAACAGTAATGTATTTTCCTCAATTATTAACCAAAACCTACGTGCAATTGCATCGTTAACCTGACAGGCCGCACGTGGACACAATCGCAACGTTTGAGTCTGCTTTATTAAACGACAACACATGAATTGGTCCTAAATTATATGGTTAATTTCATAAACGGTCACTGAAGTTATGCGAAAATAACAAAACAGTCACTAAAGTTTAAAACTTGCAGAAGTGATCACTGAAATTTCACGCGATTTCAAAAAGGTTATTGGACTTAGTTTTAGTACTATTATGTTTTAATTCAAACCTAAAGAACCAAAACACGTGGACATAGAAGCTGGAGGACCTCAAGTGCAAAATTCAACTTAAAATCTCCCCAACCCCAAATCGAGACCACCAATTTTCGCGCCCCATTTCACCACATTCCGGTCTCCAAAACTACCGAACCAACACACCATATTGAAGCGCTCGCTTCCCTCTACGCAACCCATCCAAGAACCCCTAACTCGTCTTAGTTCTTATCCGTTTTAATCGTTCGAAGTTGGTTTAATCAATTATGTGAGTTTCCATAATTTATCCAATTTTCTATGACTATATGAAATTCAAAAGGTCGTATAATTATAAACAAATTGAAGGGAAGATTAATAAAAAAAACGATAATAATAAAAAAAAGTATGAGCCCATCTTTTGATATTATATTTTGTGGCAATCTTATCGCTCATTTCAGGAATTATCATCTAATTCATCAATGGACAATGGCCTAATTTCTTTCGTCAAAGACCTTCCATGCTTTCGAAAGGTGACAACATTGGAAGTGAAGATTCATCTAAGTATTTAAATTTGCGTAGTATTCAAAAATCCGCAAAATTCTTCCCAGAAATGGGACCAAATACAATCGAATTGATAAAAGTTTTGTCAGAACGCATAAATAAAACTAAAATGACAAAAGTGCAATTAATAAGACGAGAAAACAATAAATAATTCTGTCAATTTTTGCTACTAAAGTTTTCACCAAAAGCCAATTTCATGAAAATAAAAGAGAGTAAAGGTCGAATGCCAAAATATTTAAGCTTAGGCATTGAAGTAAAGGAATCCGATTCTAATTTATTTGGTTTGCTCGTTGCTGGTAGGAAATCATTATAATATATTAAAGCTTATATCCATTATAGAACTCGTGCTCAGGCTCGTTAAATTTAGTTATTTTGTGCTTTGAATTTTCTATCTTCTGGAATTATAGAGTTTAGCACATGGTTTAAAATCGTTAGAAAGATATTCTCCGCCATTGTCTGATTGTAGTTGTTGAACTTTTATAGAGAATTGATTTTCCACAAGAGCTTTATATTGCTGAAAAATAAGAAATATGTTGGTCTCATAATCGAAATCTTCGTACCAAAAACAAAAACAGAGAAACAAGACTTGCAGAAAGTAAGAACACACAGATTTTTCACACCTTGGGGCCCGGATGTTCAACTTGACAGCTTACTCACCCGTTGAGCATCTACTGAATAGATTACTGTTTCGCGCGTTTTCGCTCGCTAACAATTAAAAAGGGAATCAGACGAATTGTGTAAGGGACAAACCTCTTGGAACAAAGTCCCAAAAATGGGTGTTTATTGA